CCACCCATCCCAGAAGAATTCCCTCATCAAAACGCTGCACCATAGAGCTCAATGTATCTCGACCATGAACACCTAACCAGTACACAGAGCTCTCAATGCGAATGGATATTCTGACTACACACTCCACAAAGCCATCACCCCAACCGTGAGGAAGGAGCCATCTGAGGATCCAATCAAAACCATCACCCTGCCATACATAGTAGGGCTAACCAAAAAGATTGTTAAAATCATAAACACAAGATCCAGGTATGATTTAACACAGTACATAAAATTCGTGATCTGTGAAGGACAAGATTCCTGACATACAATATCCCGGGCGTCTACAAACTAAGCTGTATCTGCGGCAGCAGTTAAATGGGGAATCTAAGTGACTCAGACCGTGTTCATGCGCATAAGGCAGATTTCAAACACGATAGGACCAATACTTCTGCCATGGCTGATCATTATTTTAATGCGGCTGGCTCACACGAAATTGAAGATGGTACTTTGGCAAGCCTACTGGCAATCAAAGATTCGTTCATGAAGCCATCCATATATATAGACAGACAATTTCAACCTAGAGGATGGTCATCAATTCAGCAATCTTTGGAAAGGTGTCATCAACCACTTTGGATCATGACTTCGTGTTTTCTCATCAACCTCCACCATCAGCAGTGTGGGTGTGTGGAGCGAGGTACAATGATTGTCTTGCGGCCCTTTGATTGGTATAGTTTGTTTTCTCCGCCATTAACATTGGCTGCCCTGACCATGCTGCTGACACACTTGGGCTATGCCCATCTCTAAACCTTGAAAAACAGTTTGCCTTTAGAGGCTAACCCCCCTTTTCCTGATAACCGCTTGTCTTGCGATCAAAACGTCGTGGTTTTTGTTTTTTTATTACTGAAAGAACCAATAATAAGTCTACATTATAGACTACCAGTACACTCACCGAGGTTAAGAGCCAGGCTACAGTCTACATTGGTGTTGTTTTTTTTCCATTCTTTTTTAGTCACTTTTTTTCTACGTGACTTTACCGAAAGAACCGAAGAATATGAATTCCTGCAGTCACGAAAGTTAAGTCAAATTTTAACCATCTAGCTGGTTCTGGGAGCTACAAGATGGATCTTTTCCAAGACCCTTGGCCCAGTTATTTTCCCTTCCATGACTCTTGCCCCAGATCTTCCCTTCGGGTGGGTATACCCATAATTACTACCCCTGGTCGCCAGTCTGCGCTGCTACACTACACATGTAGATCCTGATTCTTATTAATTCTTGTACCACGTCATGCCATGACCATCAATCTGCAAGGAGGAGAAATACACCCTCGCCACACACACCTGAGATTCGTCCCGAGATAATTTCCCCCATATTTGACCTGTCCCAGAGGCAGCCTAGCACGCAAACTCAGCCAAGACATGAGTTTGGGCCCCCAGACCCTGTGATGAAATGAGATTGGGTTTCCAGGAGAGTCCAGATGACATTCAATGGAAATATAATTAAAATATATATTTTATGCTGTGAAATGAACAGGTAAAGCCGTTTTTATTTTTATCATTCAAAGTCTTGATATTGGGGAAAGGGCCCCATAGCTTTAACTGCTTAACGTGGAGCTATGAAAGCTTTGGTGTTTGCCTTGTCCTTATACTGCTCACTTTTTGGCGGCCTTTGGCCTAGCACTGGTGAGACAACGCCATAGCGTAGGCTCTCTGGTGTTCTACAAAATAAAACAAACGCCTTGCTAGCACTGTACTGACAATTTCACTGCGGACTGTGGTCTTTGTAAACTGCGGGAGTGTTTGGGAACCATTGGCTTAAATAATAACGCTTTCAAAAATGCTTACTACAGGTAGATGACTAAATTAAATTTCCAGCCACCCAGAAATTCAAGTCTGACACTTCCCACACCGATTATCTGACAACCCCCACCCACTAAGAATATTTATTTCTGGGGAAGCGTTTCCATTTGGCCAAAACGGATGCTTCGCTTCTCTTGGTGACAGTTAATACAACACCAGTTATTATTATTTTAATTAACCTGTTACTTTAGGTATGGAGAGTGGCGATAGGCAAGGCGGGGTCAAACAATCCCAACGACTGACATAGCATTGAGGCATTCTTAATAAAGGCTGCAAATCAAAATTTTGGTTTATAATCCATGAAATAGAATCTTTGGATGATTACATCTCAGGCTCGAGGTGGCAGCGACTTGGGGAGGTGTTTATCCAGTGGATTAATCCTAGCTAACAATAATGATATATGCAATGCAGTTAGGTACCCAACTCCACCTCAAGTCCATCCATTGTAAACCCTCACTATAGTCCCACTCCGTTGCCTTCTCCTGTAGGATCTGTAACAGCTGCACACACCTATCCACAGCGAGCATCTGAAGCTGTCATCAAGCACTGAAATCCCAGAAAATATTCCATGAGAAATTAAACCCAGGGATGGATGGATGGAACAGATGTTAGCGCTGCGTAACAGTACAGCTAGCTTGGCATTATTATCACCACCCATTTCAACAAGAAGCAGCTGCTACCTTTGGCATTATTTTTTTATCAGACAGTTTTGTTAAGATTTGTATATTTTATAGTCCAAGCCACGAGAGCTTCCCCAAAAACAACGACAGATCGTGCGACTCTCAAAAAGCATTAAAAGTTTCCGATTTTCCACGTTCAGGTAAAAGAGCGTGCGAACGTCGTCTCAAATCCAGCGAGCAGGAACAAAGCACGGATACGAGGGAGGACATTTGTTAAAAACACATTTTTTGCGAAAAACTAAAAATGCCATTTTCTTCTGTAAGACGAGACATGTCCCAGCAATGCAGTTTTTGAAAAGGCTGCAAGTGGAATGCAAGTTAAGTTTCCCCAAACAATCCAATATTTGACATCCGCCTCACACGACCTACACACTTGCATCGCGATGATGCAATGTACGGGCGTGGGCGTTAACAGACTGCACACCACATCCTGGCAAAGACTCTGCAGCAAAATGTCACGACAAATGAGATTATTAGAATCACATATGCTTGCTTTTGGGGCAGGAAGACATTTGAATGAGAGTGGAACGCTTCGTTGTCTTTGTTCAAAGAGACGTGACGTGCGACTCGAGTATTATTTCGCCCCACGCAAAAACACTTAACCTTCTGCTTTCTTGCCTCGCACTGCTCGACCGTGGAATTTCCACCCAGTCGCAATTCTAAAAATGACTCAACTCCAAGAAGTTCCGTTTGTTTCTGGCCAATCGCCGTGTTGGGTCTTTGGGCCAGTGCTCAGTACTTGTTCAAACAATGTAAAGCGATAGTAGTTCAGAGTCTTCATTATTTTGATTGCTATGATTAAGCCACGAGTACTTTCAGAATGCATTCTTCCCCCCAACATACTTTTGATTCAAGCCCATAATGTATTTCACATTTTGGGGAATGTAGCAGCCTCTAGTGGCTGGAGAGGGGGAGGGGGGTTACACGATTCCATAGAATCAGAATCTGAAGCAAGTGTGAATACATAGCACAACTAAAATATTCTTAGCCACACTGCTATTCTTCCTTTAGCCAGAATTAGCTGCAATTCTTACCTACCGTAAACTAGTGTGAAATTGCAAATACAATCTGGGATACTGGTCTCCCACATCAGGGGTATGGCAAGCGCACATTATTGATTACACACACAATCCCATGAGTGTATTGCATGTTTTAGAGCAGATTTTACTCCAATCGATGCGTTGTTCCACCGCTAATGGATACAATGCATGTTCAGACTGGTCATTTGAATCCAATTTATAGTGCGCCTTCATTCAAGGCGCTTGACAAAGCTTAGATGACGGAATTAAATGATGCAGTTGGCAGGGGCGGTACAAGGATTGAGAAATGAGTGACAGCGATTGAGGGGTACTTGGGGATCACGAAAGGGTAGGAGGGAGATGGAAATGAGGGGCAAAGGGAGAAAAGAGGGTGAGAATGGGCAAGAGAGAAGAAGCGAGGCTTTAAGGCAGTAACGGAAGGAAGATGAAGACAATACACATCCAGTCGATCGATAGAGCAAGCTTAAATAATTCCAACTAATCCAACCAACTCCTAATCAGTATCCATATATGCCTCATTGCTACTATATTTAGGTTAACCACAATAACAAGTTGGAAAGTGTCGGCAGTCTCACATTTGGCCTCAAGTCCATTGGGGAATGTCTATAGATGCTTTCAATGTACAATACACGTTTGGCAACTCATCTGCACTGCAGCAGAATGATATTCATTGCAAAGAGCAAGGACTATAATCCAATTACTCTCGGGTGAAACATAATTTACCACGGTCATAATTAACAAATACGGTATTAGTGGTGGTGCATGTGATAAGTGGACCACTATGGGCCTGGTGACCAGAGTTCGATTCCCAGTCAAATAAACAGCTTTTCATATATTAACCAGTTCTAGCTCCCTCCCCCACTTCAACCCACACTGCCCAGCATTGTGAGGCATATTCAAACAATACCTAAAACGAAGAGGCGGGCCCTTGGATTGATCAAGGGCTATAATTAGATGATTTTTTTGGAATGGAAATTAACCACATTACGTAATTTTGGCACGTGGATGCACAAAGATCGCGTTGTTATTTTTAAAAGACACGCATTCCACATTTGCATTGTCCACAGGGACATTCCAAGCTCTTAAAAACTTCTGAAACTATCAGATGCACATTTTTCCCTGGTTTGCAAAGTATGTCTACTGACGGGAAAAAGTGGTCAAGTTATTTTAGATTTCAAAAAATGTAGGCCAATAGATTGTAACAAGCATCTGACGGGTAACTACTACATCGTGCACTGCAGCAACGACAACGCGAGAGCAATGAGACCCATTTGTGCGTTTGTTTATTTCTTTTCAAGGCAAATACCACAAAGACAGGTGGATAATCATATTTTGTAACACCACAAAACAAACCCGCAAATACCAAAAAAAATCCCAAACTCGACACTCTGAGGGCACACGCGCACCGGCCAAACCATGACAGGGAGGGCGGTGGGGGTGTTTTCCCTGCTGGTGAATGCCTCTGGACGAGTGGGGAGTAAGTGCTAGCGGTCCGTGCTAGATTCGCCAACACGCTGGGATCAGGGCACGGGGTAGTGGGAGTTTCCTCCTCCTCCATGCCAGAGTGCCAGCCACGAGCACCGTCACGGCGAGAGGCAACACCACTGCCGCCGTTGTCACCGCCGTCTCCTCCGCCGCACCGCTCGAGTCTGAATGGCAACAAAAAACACGAAAATCTCGCAGTCTTCTGAATGCCACAGCACCACCAGATTCATGGCCGAGTTGTAAAAAAGCCGAGGTTGAATTGGTAGTCACGGTGAACACCTGTGTGAGCGATCGAGACAGAAACCAGTCCAGTGCCAACCCTTCACTCACAGCGACCAATGTGGAAGGAGGCGATCAAACAGCTCCCATGACCAAACAGGGCAGGGAGGCCTCCATCCAGCAGTGAATTGGCAGCTGTAATTAATTCTCATCATAGCCAACAAAATGAGCCCAATCAAATGAGGAAATATCGTGCAGGTGCAAGGATTATGGGGCAATATCCAACATTGCACTTCTCCTAAGGTATTCGGTTGGCATTAACGACGTGACAAGACACGACGAGGTGACACGCAGCGAAACCATTAGGCGCAGTTTCCATTGCCAAGTTTTGAACAGCGTTCTGATCAATTTGGTAAGGGGGCAACGTCTCCAAGATAAACACTTGATATACCAGTTTTGATTTTGACTTAAAACTTGTGACTGCAGGAATTCATATTCTTTGGTTCTTTCGGTAAAATCAGACGATAAAAATCAAGTAAATAAAAATGTCACGACGTTTCGATCGCAACACAAGCAGTCGTCATCAGGAAAAGGGGTTGGCCTCTAAAGGCAAACCGTTTATAAAGGTTTGGAGATGGGCGTAGCCCAAGTGTATCTGCAGCACCACCAGCATGGGCCAGGCAGCAATGCCAATGCAGCAAAAGGGCCCCACGATATCACTGCACACCGCTCCACACACCACACTGCTGACGGTGGAGGTTGATTGACAAGAAAACACAAGTCAAGTCATGACCCAAGTGGTTGATGACAGCTTTGCAATGATTGCCGAGTTTTATAACCTTCCTCTCAGTTGAAATTGTGTCTGTATATATGGATGGCTTCATGAACAAATCTTTACTCTTTGGTTCTTTCGGTAAAGTCACGTAGGTATAAAATAAATCACGACGTTTCGGGCGCAACACAAGCGTCCGTCATCAGGTGGGAAAGCATGGTCTGCTGTTGAGGCAGACTGTTTTTTAAAGGTTTGAAATGAGTGTAGCCCAAGGATCCTAAGAGAAGTGGCTGGGGCTAGTGATGTTAATGTGAGAAATCAGCATGTAACTGGAAGATAGGAGGAGAGCAGCCTCCTCGACGAGGGAGTGCAACCCAACGGGTGCAATCCAAAAGGGCCTGTGGAAATGGCTTCAGTTGATGTGCAGTGGACTGTTGAACTCAAGAGTTCAGTGGGTCGCCACTCTGGTGTCAAGAATGAAACGTTCTTTTAATTGGGCGCACGAAACGCCAGGGCTTGTCAGAGCACTTTATACGAGATACAGCTTTCAAAACGTCTCGCACGTTTGAAAGGGCACCCCCAGTGGCAGCTGTCCCTGTGCAGAACAAGAATTCCGCACCTGGCCTGCAAGCAGGCATGAGTCCGACAGTGGTGTGATTATTTGCAGGTGTAATCCCAATTGAGACCCGATTGGCTGGTCAGGGTTTCTGCAACGTTACTCCAGGCTTTTTTAATTTTCACTTGCTACCGTCGTGGGCAGATCTGCAGTAAGATATGCAGATTTGATTTAATGAGGCCACAGTCCGTTTTCACTTTGGAACACTATCGATGACGTACTTGGAGCGGGACAGATCAAGCAATTCAGTTGATGAATTGACTACGTTCTTGGAGCCGATTACTCGGGCTCCTCTAAAAAATAATTGATAATCGGTAATGTATTACTATTATTTAGGATTTTTTAAGGCACATCAGACCTCAAAAAAGGGCTTCAAAGCACCGTACAGTACCTCAGATTTCCCGCATCTGCAAATAGCATGGTTGGCTACATACGGTGCGAAATAAAGTCAACATATGCACAGTAAAATGTACACAACGAAAAACACATCTCCAGTCTCCATAACATATCATAGGAAATAAGTAAGGTTTTTAGTTTCTTGCTAAATGGGAGAATGTCAGCGGTCGGGTGCAGTTCTACAGACAGAAAGCGTTTCAAACCAGAGGGCCAAGGCTATAAAAAGCCCAAGCTCCAAAATATGTTTTCCGAAAGCATGGCTGACAGAGGTGCACCGTCATGGTGTGTAAAGCTGCAAAGAGGCAATTGCTAAAAGTGCTTTAATTAAAACATATTGCATATCCCCCACGCGGGTGACAGAGGTGCGGACTGCACCGACATGGTCGTGGGCCCTCCCGAAGCGGAGCAGGTCGCGCTTGTCGACAGCGGGATGATCCGTTTGGTCCCCGCTCACGGTCAGGGGACCCAGGCCCACGTAGCCGCTCACCACAATGCCTGCATACACAAAAAATTTACCCGTAAAAACAAAGTTTTTCACTATAAATCCTTTATATGCGTGGCAGGTAGAGTCCTCTCGTCCTCTGGCTTGAGATGGCTGCCACCTATGGGTCAGACGATTGCCTGGCAGCATTAAGCAATTGGTAATTAAATATATATATATTTTTTCCTAAAAAGTGTGAAATTTAGCAAAAAAAATTTTCACGAAAATTAATTGTCACGCACAACGAGTCTGTGTGGAAAATGTCAGCTCGATTGGATCACGGGAAGTGGGTTAAAAAACGACCGAAAGATTTTCACGGTCGTAAGCGCGCAAGCAAGCGAACTTAATATAAAGGATTTAAATAAAAAACGACCGAAAGATTTGCACGGTCGTAAGCACGCAAGCAAACTTAATATAAAGGATTTAAAAACACAAGGAAGACAAACCATGGGTGTGCATGGATCCTGCAACTCCCTAAATTGCATTTGTATGCAGGAAAGCATTTAGTTAAATATTTAATTCGCAGTCCAAAAGAAGGTTAACCTACATACGTTAGCGATTATGCGGTTCTAAAGCTGCGAGTCCCAGAGTGAGATGACGTACATGATGAACCACTATTGCAATGACGAGTTATTGTGCCCCAGACGTTTGAGACAGAGCTAAGGCATTCATTCGTTAAACCTTGCTTTGCAAAGTTAGTCAGGCTTTATTGAATAGCTCTATCTATTCAGGAAAGTCTCACCAAGTGCAGCTTCATCCAGGAAAGGGCTACATTTTGGATGTTTAATAATTTTCATTAACGAGTGTTTACCATGTGGGATGAAAGTGGAAAACAAATAATTTCTTGCCATTAGGAAGCTCACGGCCCCACAAGCAGCGGGAACCGTCGCCTTTTCCACAAATTGAAAATAAAACCAATCACCCGAGCGCTATTTCGGCGCGCCGCGACCGACGATGGAACACGTCGAGTCTTAATCGATCTCGTGCGCGACGTGCACGAGCCTCTCGCGAGCTCGTGTCCACGGCAGGCAATCGCCAAGGGTCGTTCGCCGCGCCTGGAGAACAGGCAACCTCCACGCGGAATTAGGGCCATGACTCAGTCCATATTAACACCAACAGAGGAATGAGGCATTAGTTGTAATGCAGAGACTTACACGTGCTGTATTTTGAACCGCAACAAGGGAGAGACAAAATGATAACAGATGTAACCTAGAAAGTTAATAAACACAGATATGAAGCTGGGTGGGTGTGGTAAAGGGCCCTTAGCCAACAGCCACGAGGTCGTCTGTTAATGAAGTCAAAAGTACAAAAACTTTCCCTCCGACCAAATGAGACTTATTTGCCAATGCTGCTGCTTTGACAGTGGTGCGCAAGCAGAGAACTACTCCTCAGTTGTCATTTACACTGTGGCCTTCAAAGAAATATAAAGGGCGTCTGAAAATGAATATACCAAAAAGAAAGTTGAAGAGTTAGATTGTCATTCGAGATACTTTCAAATCTTATATGAATATGCATTCGACTTAGTTGTAGCTTGTTGTGAATATTTATTGGTACCTTCTGTTTCAAGAGAACCCCCATTATCTGATACGACAAGTCCACCCGTTCACCCGACTTGACACCATTCGATTTTAATCTGACGTTTGTTAAATAGTAAAGTCTACACTAGCAAACAAGGGACTTGAAGCACTTCAACATCGTATTGTTGATGCCATGTCATCCATCCCTATAGCGGTGTTTGAATGCAAAATATGTTGATAGTGAATGGACGGCATGTACAAGTTTATTAATAACTGTCGAATATCATGGAAAAATTACACCAACTAAAAACGTACAAGTCAGTTTAACACGTAGGCTTTCGTAATCAATATCATCCATATTTTTTTTGGGTTAAACTCGCCACAGCCAATTAGTAAGGTTTGTCATGTAAACAGACGATGCCAATTTCTTACTAGTGTAGTGGTTTGAACCAGTCGCAGATGTAGACTTTGGAGGCAGCACATTTATTTAGTTCCAACACACAGGGTAACTTCCCCTTAACAGAATAACAACCTCGGGTGGTGACCACCCAGCCAACTACACTAGTTACCACGTAACTGTTACTACGGACCCGGGACCAACAGCATTTGCCCAGGTCCACGTGCTGGAAGACTCGTAGAACGGAGATCGTAGACGAAGGGTTCTTTTCCCAGGATTAACAACCCCGGTCCCTCTCAGGACTAGGCTTATATTCTCTCCGCGGCATGGCCGGCTCTGCCCTTGGCCACATCCACCTTGCAAAACCATCGAGAAGGATCTGGGTTACAATCACGTGACCCCCCCCCTAGCCTCCTCTTGGGGGACCCTGTCATCTTAACCAGTCACGTGTCCTCCCAGGTCAACCAGAGTGCCGTGGCCTCGCACGACCTTCCCCTTTGGTCGGCACCCACACACCGTGTCCTGTAGGGCCGGCACGGCACTTACAGCATGGTGCCATCCAGTGCTGTTACTCCACTAGTACAGCACACACACTGATGTTTTGGAGAACAAAGCCACAAGATTTAAAATCCTGAGTATGACGTTTAGCCAGTAATTACAACTAGCTTCATCCATCCAGCAACAGCCAGGTGGAGAAATTCTCCCGTTTCATTCCTCAAATAAAGGGGTAGATGTGATACCACTTGAGCACTTCTTGAGCGATGTGTGGGGGAGGCAGGGGGGAAAATTAATGAATGCATATAAAGGACAATGGTTATCCATTGCAGGTTGGGTTATTTGTGGGTTCCAGGAGACCAGAGACGGAGTACTTGAGGCAACACGTTTCCTAACAGAGGGGTAACGGCCCCTCTACCTGATACTTAGGGAGTTATGGCCTCCGGGCTAGCGTGTCCTATCACTGGGGCCACACTCACAATCCCTCCGGCTAAGGGGACCTAAGGGGAGACTACCTGACCCAACCCAGCCAAGGTCCTCGGGTCTCGACCACTGGCCCACTCGGTCCCGGCCCTTAAAAGGACGTCGGGACTGGGGGTTCCCAGGGTCCTAGCCAAGCTGGTCTTCTTACTTCAGCTTCACGAAGACTGCCGAACTCGTCCAGAGGTCCGGCTTTTATACCCGTGGCCGGGTCTCTCCAACCCTGACCACGCCCTCCTCCTGGAACTCTAGCGGGCTCTGGAATATCCCCCAACCCCTCTTGGGGCTGGGAGAGCCTAGTGTCCCAACAGCCCAGCTCATCCTGCCCATCCCAGGTTACCACCCCCCTATGGACGTGTCTGCTACTACAGGTAAGTGTGCATAACAATGCTATATACAATGCCTGACGACGCTACATTTATATGGTAATCAACATGCATTATGCAAGCCCATTGTTCTTAAACCTTCTGAAGGACAACAACAAGTACTGCTATTTTAATCCACAAATCTGACTGCCGCCTGATGATGCCAGTTGTAATTACTGGCAAAACTCAAATTTTAAATATTGTGGATTTGCTCTTCAACACACCAGTGTGGTGTACGAGTGTAGTGACATATAACTGGTCACCAAGTAGCATAGCGCTGGCTGCTGGCAGGGAAGGGGATCTGCAGCTTGTAGCAGCCAACTGACTGACAGCAGGCCACGTGATAGACCCGAGGAGGTATCTAGGGTAAAGATTACAGAAGGGACATGTCAAGAGGCCGCTAGTAGGTTCCAGAAGGGGGAGGCATGGCCAGGGCAGAGCAAGGTGACGCTAACAGAATAAAAAGGGGGTCCCAAGCAGGAGCTCGGGACTGTTGTTTGGAATGGGATCCCCATTGTCATTGTGCTGTTCAAGATCGTCGCTGTAGTCTCGAGCCTTCGTCACCTTCGTCACCTTCGTCACCTTCGTCACCTTCGTCACCTTCGTCACCTTCGTCACCTTCGTCACCTTCGTCACCTTCGTCACCTTCGTCACCTTCGTCACCTTCGTCACCTTCGTCACCTTCGTCACCTTCGTCACCTTCGTCACCTTCGTCACCTTCGTCACCTTCGTCACCTTCGTCACCTCCACTTGATAATTGCGCTGCTAGACGTAGTTGGCCGTCTTAGATCAGCGCCGTCAGTGTCAGAAGGCTAGCGTTGTGTGTAGGCTAGCAACTAGAGTAAAGTTGCATATAAGCAAAAGACAGTGTAAGGTGTGTATTGTATATAGATTACAAAGTGTGCTCGGTGTTTAATAAATAGTGTGCTTCCTACTCTTCGTGTCCGAGTCAGCCACGACATGAGTCACGAATTGGCATATTCCGTTCACGTGACAAACCTTACTAACTGGCTGTGTCGGGTGGTGGTGGGTTTAATGACACATTTACATACTTACGCAATCTAACCCAAAAAAAACCTGTATTATGGATGTATAAGTTTACTACATCTAGTCCTATAAAATGTCCACATCTCGAATAACAAAACTCTTCAACGTTATTTGGGATATTAATTTTCGAACACCCTGTATATATTTGAAATTGGCGACAATTCAGGCAATGGCCCTTCTTCATAGCATCATTTCAAGCGCTACGAAGGGCCACTGCCCTAAACATCTATTAAACTTTTCTTTTTAAGGCCACAGTATTAATGAATGTGTTGAGTTTTTCACCACATTGACTTTCGGCAGGGTGCATAGATGTGCAATACAATAGACTTTGCTTGCACTGCCCGCCACTGCTGCCGACAATGTAGTTACGCAGCCGCCAACAACACAAGGTGTGCATGGTAGTCGCCCATCCAGGCTCAAACCAACTTAGCTTCCAAGATCTAACATGAACAAGGGGGAGCCCATAGGGGTACCCTCATTCTGTTTGTAGAAGGTGCCATTCCAGGTAAAATAGGTGTTGGTGAGGCAATGCCTAACCAGCGCAGGTACATCAGAATTCAATCCATGTTGGACTAAGTCCTCAATTATTGGTAGGGTGTCCGGTACTGGGACTTTGGTAAACAAAGATACTACATCAAAACTGACGAGGATGTCATCAGGAGATAGTACCATGTCCTTAACCATAAAGACTAATTGGGTTGAGTAGAGTACTGCCGAAGAGGTCTTGCCTGTGAAGGAAAGCAGAGTATCTGATAGAAAACGGGCTAGGAATAACCTGGTTTAATAACAGGCGGTTGAACACAGATTCGAACCTAGGGTCTTAAGAGTTACTGGCTCGGTGCTGGCACACATGGCCAGATTGAATCCTAGTGATGTTAGTTTTGGAGGACCTCTATTTCCTTCCTTGCTTTTATTATTTTCCCAACCATGCCTGATGCCAAACACTCTTGTTATTCAGTTACTCACCTTGGGGAGTATCAGTTCCAGTAATTGGAGGTGCAGGGGAAGGACAACAAAATAAATAAGCAAGTTCGAAATATATTCGTTTTCAATCTAATATTTAATAGTGCATAGCTCCTGGCTTCCTAATGAATCGGAAGAACATTCCAGACGACTACCGAAGGGTAACTGAAAGTGCAGGATGTAGTGACCATCTTTGTTCGATGGCTAGCCAAAAGCCGCTGCGAGGATGACCGGAGTTTGCATGATGGTGTATGCTCATTGAAGAGATTGGCAAGGTATCGTGGTTCGTTTGTGAAAAGTGCAACTTTATTACGTATTCGTTCGGCAGCCGAAGCCAATGCAGATTGGCGAGCACTGGATGGATATGGTCGGATCTTGCAGTATCCATCACAACACGTGGCAAATAATTTTTGTACATGCTGTAGCGTGCGCATGTTTTCGCCAAACGTCCCGTAGAGTAGGGAGTTTCAATAATCGAGCCTTGTTGATACTATATTACATTCCACCGTGTTGGCTACATCACGACTAGGCCTCGGCAAGGTAATTTACCCTTTTTACCGGGTAAAAGGGTCAAGGTAAAGGGTAAAGATGTCGACATGACAAGGGGTAAGGTAAAGGGTAGGGTAAAGGTAGCTCGGAAGAATTACCCGGTAGGGTAAAGATAGCGAAGTATTACCCGGTAAATACGGTACCTTGTTCACCGCTAAAAGCTCCGTGGCGCAGTCAGTGGCCTACATTTAATAAGTAATAATAAAACAAACTTTATTAAAAATACGCTTTTATGAAATGTACGAGTAATGACAGAACTCCACGACTCCAGGAAGTGGCCTGGAAGTTTGCCATAACGTAAGGGGCCGTAGTGATTTACAGCCAATGTCAGTTGACCGTGGAAAATTAGACCAAAGCTGAAACATAGCATATAAAAAAAGATTGTTTAAAAATATTTAGATTTTTTCATGATATAATATAGTATTGTCATCAGTATGACCTAAGTATACCAAGTTTGCAGTCGATACCACATTAGGAAGTGGGTAAAAATTGAGTTTCAAGATTTGAGGATACAACAACAACAAGCGTGTAAAATTGGAATAGAGAGTACTGTATTCTATATGAATAAAGTGCTCTACCGAGCATTTACCGTTATAAACCTTGTTCATGTGTAGTAGTACCCCAGTAATTACCCTGTAATCGGGTAATTTGTATGGGGTAAGGGTAAAAGGTAGGGTCGTTGCTTTTTACCTTTTACCTTATCTGCTAAAGGGTGAACGGTAGGGTAGAGGGATTGTATTGTGGTAAGGTAAAAGGTAGGGTAAAGGTAGGCTCGTTATTTTTACCTTACCGAGGCCCAATCACGACTCAAGGTGGTGGAATGTGTCGTAGAGCACCAATATTAAAATTTCAGGACCTGCCTGTATTTTGCATATAGTGACCAAAGGACATTCTGGTCGAGTATGGTACCGAGGTTCTTAAGACGAGTAGAACACTGAATCTTGGAGTCTGAGACTGCCAAACCCGATCCTCTCGGAAATGTTTTCGTCCGAGCACCAACCAGCAGAACCCCCCGATTAACGTGGTTGGTTACATACGGTGTGAAAGAAGTTCATACATCTTGTTTAGTGCAAACCACAACCTCCATGAAACCACCTGAAACTTGAGATGACAATGACTTTGGGGAAATCATTACCAAGTGGAAGAGGTGCAGCCTTGGCAGGGGCAGACGAGGAGCAGAGGTTGCTGCAGCATGAGCATACATGGTTATTGCCATCTGGGGACATCCATCTGCAAGTCACACAAGAGCCAAATATGTCATGTATATCCTAAACAGCTGTTTGAGCCAAGTATCATTAGTGAGCACTTATGAAGGGTGGCACAGCACACTAGCGGTTGGGTGGCAAGCACCATGCCTGGGTCGCCTTTGTCTCTCTAGTGGCGATGTTCACACATACCAGGTACTCATTTGAGGCGGAGTAGACCTAGGGGAGGCCTATGACCGGTTCAAATAATTACCACGAGTGTTGGCCGTAAGTAGGAATCATTTGGCCGACTGGGTTCATTGCGCCAAGAGGTGCGATGAACCTCTTGGCGAGCCGACAGAAAATCAAACCTCCACACACGCGTGACACAGATGACTCGACAAGAGATTACTCTACAAGACAGGACACACCGCCAGGTTGCCTGCAGCATTGAAGGCGAGGCTTACAATAACTTTCATTTCCAAAAGCCATATTTTCAACATTTTATATATTTATTATTTTAATTACAATTTACCTTATTAATTAGCCTTCGTTACATTGTATTGACTTGTCAAATTTAGTCCACATTTGTTACTTTAAATGTATTCAAAAATAGTTATTAAAATTGTTCTCAGCTTGTAAGAGGCAGCATCGTTTCAAGAGTCTCAATGGGTTCACGTCATCTGCAAGCTCAATAAAGGACACTTGTAAACAGGACACATTCTACCCATATGGAAAAGGTTAGTGGAGAAACGTCTTATGCAGGATGTTTTGAAGTTCAAGGCCTTGTGGCCAAGAATCAAATGGAGGTTATGGCCTAAATTCAGTTGGAAGGCTGCCCACCCCTGGTACAGACCAAGTGATAGTTGTGATGTACATACATACACGTGCTTCCGTGATGTACCTCAGCGTCTTTAAATGCCCCCTGCTATCCTTCACACAAGTGCTCTTGTATGTCCATGTGTATTTTCACCCGATCAGCAACCCCACCAGACTGCGGAAGTGGTTTCTCATGTCGACATTTTATAGCTGCCAAATACTCTAAAAGCATGTGGCTTCTAATGTGGAATCGAAAAACCGGAAGACCCGGGGAGAAAAATCTACACGACCATAGGGAGAACATGTAAACTCAAAATATACAGGTGTTCGGGTCAGGATCGAACTCACGACCTCCTGTACACCAGGCGAGGTAGTTAACATTGCCGCCAGTGCCCCAACCGAATGCTTTGAGCGCAATGCGAGGGGCATTACCCCTCGGGGAAGTAGGTGCACGCCTTGTCAACAGCATTGGAAGATGTTGTTTGTTCCGCCACCTTGAGGTTGCATCGCAGATAAACCTAGCACATAAACCATGCACACGACACATGCAGTCCCCTAATTTAGCATCAGCCCCAAGCTAATTGCATGCAGTGCAGCAAACTCTTGCACAATACTGCTATGCTCCAGTGTCTAAGATCTGTGCAGTGACTAGGGATACTTCGAACAATCAACAGTGTGCAAGCACTCATCCACCAGTGGATTGATAAAGGGCCGTATAGTACTTGTACAAGGAGGTCCTGCGTGAAGAGATTCTTTTTGTTTTGATACTTTCGTTCCACAATTATATTTCATAGAAGCGGAAATGAGTGGTAGGCTTAGGGTTAATTAGAAGATGCCATCGCTTACAACACTAGAACCTGGGAAAAGGACATTTTACGATTTGGATTTTGGACCGTTGCGTTTAGGACACATGGCACACACCTAAACCCTAAATTATTAAAATGAGTGAGAGGAATACAAAAAATGGAAAAATCCCCAGAAACCGAGAGAGAAACCCCAGAAACTGAGAGAATGAACAGAAACCAAGGCCGAGAAACATTTAAATGTCACTCAGGCAAGGGAGTCCACTTTGAGAAAAGGGAGGTTACTAAATACGTTTTCAAAGCAGCAAAATAATAATGTAATGCCACTTTGTGAACACCCCTAGAGTAAATAAGTTCATAATAATCTTGCATAGTTGGTATTCGTTTTCCGCTTGTTTCTCAAAGGCTGTGGGTAAAGACAAACCATTTTATACCAGAACCTAAATTGGCAGCAGCTGCCACTGCAATGAAAACGGGACCTAGGTCATTTTCAGTTAAACAAAAACATAACAATCCGAGTCAAGGGTAAACCACGAGACTGAAACATGCACAAGGTATTACATTTCTATAACAGGCTCTACCAATTTCCCGTAGAATTCAAAGGGCAGCTACACGGATGGAGCCAGTTGCACAAACGGCCTCATTTTCATCTCCTGCTGCATCGTGCAAACTGTCCATTTACACCGACAGCCGCGATTTATCCACTGCTGGACGAAGACCATCTCATTAGCATCCCTCTCTTGATTCGACAGGCACTCTCACTTGTGCACATGCCGATCTCAACGTTCCATGTGCATGGTGGTCATGTTTCTTCTACTGTGGCTGCCATTCTCCATATTATCAAATCGGCATATATATTTTTATATTTGCCCAAGCCCACTTTTCTTTAAGTCTCTAATGGGAGTTGGTTCCGAATAATTTAGTCATAGCATACAATTGGCCAAACACCTTTCAGAGAATTGCCAAGGTTTTAAGACAGGCCCTCATGGGGGCAGACCTATATTATCCAGGTGGCATTTGTTTAAGCAAGCAAGCGCTGTACCAAGTTTTGGCTTTATGGGTATCGAGATTGTTTAAAAACACACGACCCAGACGTAAGACATTTGAATTTGAGACTAAAATAGAATAAAAAATTAAGCAAATGAAGAGAAGTTTGACTATTTTCGGGAATTAACAAAACCCCGGTGTACCGATTTGCCACGTGGTTTCTATGACAAAACCCCAAGTCACTTTTGAATGCACTCGATGTCAGAATCTAAGCAAAGATTAGGCTGGATAATGCATGGCTGGCCGATCATCATTATATATACACACACACACACAAAAACTTTTTGGGCTGGTCAAGAGCTATATTGTCAGCAGAGGGGAATGTAGCAAAATTCTGTTATACTCTACTTGAATGCTCCAACATACATGTGCCCCCCACCTTTACCAACCCACACTAACCAGTGTAATGAAGAGAGTGTGGTCAAACAACCCCCATCACCCTGCAGTGCAGGAGGCCCTCATCCAGCAGTGAATTAAAACTCTGCGTGGCTTCAATTGACGAGTGTAACATTATCAACTAAAATAATGCATACATAATGCAACGGTTTTCGCAGCTGAATTTACACGATTTGTGATCATTTTTGGGTTGGGTAACATAGTAACCAAATTCTATTTTAAAAGCATTTAACATGTCAATTACAACCGTTTTAGTTTACCGAGTTGAACATTTCTCAACCCTCCAATTCCTAAATTTGGTTTGACCGACTGGATTTTCCTCAAGGTGCTTGGTGCATCTTCTTGGTTCTTTCGGTAAAGTCACGTAGAAGGGAAATAATAAAATAATAAAAATAAAACATAATAAAATAATTCTCACGACGTTTCGGCCACAACGAAAGCAGCCGTCCTCAGGTGAAGAACAGGTCTGTCGGGAAGACAGCGTCTGAATGAAACACCCCAGGCTTGGAGCGTATATTTAAGCTGGGTTGGAAGGAGAAGAGCGTCTTGACAAAATAATTTGCATGTCAAGAGGAATTTAGCATATTTATGGGAAATGCAGATATGGGGTTAGTGCTACTTGTGAAATGCGTAGGAGGTGGGCGGGGGGGGGGGGGGGGGGGTTCAAAGTCATTATGCCCGTGCATTATGCAGGATTAGCAGCATCCAAGGGAGGGGATAGGGGTAAGCATTAATAAAGGTGTAGTGACATAAGAAGAGAGGGGCTGCTGGGGGCTCTGGGTCCCTCGGAGGGCCAGGCGCTTAATCCCATTGGCGCCAGGCGTGGTTTCTCAGGCGGGTCAGACGCTTAAGCCTCTTGGCGTCAGGCGTTGGGTTCCCAGGCGCTTAATCCCCTTGGCGCCGCCAAGGGGGGGGGGGCTATGTGTGCTCTGTGGGATATCTGGGGGCGCACACGGCCCCATCCCTCGTTGGACCAGGCATAAAAGTGGAGCTCCCTGGACGATCGGGGCCAGTCGTAGCTCAAGACCCAAGACCAGCCATCTGAGGACCCTGGGACGCTGTGAGAGCCAGTGGTGGGACTCTGGAACTCCCGACTCTACGACCTTGTGAGGGCGAGTTCCAGAGCGTAGCCAGAGTAGAGTATCTAGGCTGTGTACCTAGGCTGTGTACCTAGGCTGTAACAGAGTATCAGGACTGTTGGAGTGTTGTGTTGTAATAAAGAAGTTACCTCTACAAGTGTCTCCGGAACCCGTTACATTTGGCGTCAGAAGTGGCTATGGAGACAAGAAGTAAGCCACGTACCTTCAGTCCTGACGGCGATGTCGAGGAACAAGCAGCGATGGGGTGGCCAACGCCGGCCGACAGCGACGCTGCACCACCAGCTGAACAGCTGTCTGCTCCGCCGACCGTCCCCTCTCCAGCGTCGGGAGCAGGTATGGAGGAGGCGCTGCTTCGCCTCGCAGAGCTGCTCTGCGCCACCGCCTCCCTCCTGGGCGAGATGCGGTGCTCGCGGGCGATGGCGGGAGGGAGAGAGGAGGCGCGGCGCTCGCCCGAGCCCACCGCCGCCGCCACAAACATGGTGGACGCCGCCGCCATTCCCGCCACCGGCGTCCCCCCCACGGATGTGAGGGATACTTCCGGGAATGACATCACTTCCACCGGAGGAGCAATGACCGCTGGGAGCGACGTCACTTCGGGCCCAGCGTGGGCCAACCCGGAGACGCCGCATCATCAGCGCTGCGTCCCTCACCGCCGGGTGACAGCTGTTTGCAACCTAGCAACGCCGCGTCATCAGCGCTGCGACCGGACAGTGAGGGCGCCATTCTTACTGTAACCGGCGCCGGGGCCGGCACAGACCGACACGCAGGTCGCCGCCTTTGCTGCTCTGGCCAAAGGTTGGAGGTCGGGAGACCAGGCCCCTGACATTTCGTACATTTACACGCTCCGGATTAATGATTTTTTTGTTGACATTCTCTTCGTTGTCGTCGGGGAGTCGTGACTGTTGTTGGGTAAACTGTGTGGAGCTTCGCTCGTGAGTGTTGTCAATGTGTGTGCGAAACTTTGCTTGTGATTGTTAACAATGTATGGTTTGTATTGAGCTTTGTTCGTGATTGTTAATGTATAGCTTGTGCTGTCATTGTTAACGATGTATAGACTGTATGGGGCATTTATCTTGAGATGATGACATGCTGCCAAGGATTTGGAATTGTCAGGCTGGCTCTCAAATATCTTGGGGTGCAGATCCTGACCAGGATGGCCCAGCGGGTGTTGCGTGTCTAACACGAGAGTTGTGGTCCCGTCATGCTATGGCTGACGGCTTGACCTGACAGCCCGGAGATAGAGACACTCCGTGGCATGTCTAGCCTAGTGGGCTGTGCGCTCACATGGCTCGGAGAGTGTGGTCCCGTCATGGAATCGCTGACGGCTTGACCTGACGGCCCGGAGGTTGAGACCCTCCGTGGTGCATCTGGAGCAACAGGCTCGCCCTGACGGCCCGGAGATTGAAACACTCCGAGGCGCGTTGAAACAGTGGGCTGGAGATTCGTGGTGTTCAGGTGTAGTTGTCCCGTTACGTTGGGACTGTATCCCTCAGTTATTAGGGTGCATGTTGTGCAGGGAGTGAACGATGGGTCGTCTCAGCTCGGTCGGTACAGCTATATGCTGCGATGCGAGTCTTGGAGAGAGACTGGGTCTCAGCTCGGTCGGTACAGCTATATGCTGCGATGCGAGTCTTGGCGAGAGACTGGGTTGAAGTTCCCCCGATATGGCCGACGCGTGCTACTGGTTGCGACGCCGCGTCGGAAAGGCGGTGGGGTGGTAACACGGAAATTCCCCCCCCCCCGATATGGCCGACGTGCGCGGTTTTAAGATAGAGACGCCACGTTGGAAAGGCGGGGGGTGCTAACGGTTGACATGTAATGTCGTTGGTGGTCCTCATTGAGGGCTGCTGGGACGGAAGCACGGGATGCCTTTTGGAGATGCGGTTCGCGCGTGCAGCTACCATTTCTGGGCAGGAACAGGCAGATTTATTTTGTTTGTGTCATGTAAATTTTATATATATATATATAAAAATGTAGATACTGGAGTAGCCCTGAAGTGCGACTTCTTTGCCCAGTACATGGGTCGACCCTGAAGTACGACTTCTTGACCCGGGACGTAGACAGACGTCCGGATTAGTGTGTGTAGAGGGATGCTCGACATGTTGGTCTTCGCCTTCTCTCCACCTGACGGATGGGAGGCTGGCAGGGTGGTGTGGAACCCTGCCATCCATGCGGTGGTTGTGCATCCAACGCGTCGGAATCTGTATATTTGTTGTTGTTAATTCCCCGTTTTCTATGCGGATCCCGAGGAGGGCTAGGTGTGCCGCGGGTCGTTTGTTCACGTGTCATTGCTTCACCTTTTTGTTGATTGATGCTTGTATATAGTGTAGAGTTGTACAGGTTGGTTATGGTATTTATGGTTGCTTTCTTGTTCTCTTTTCTTTTCCTGTTGAGGCTCGCATATTTTTTTTCTCTCTCCCTTTCGTTAATTTAAACTTTCTAATTATTGACAGCCGGGACGGCTGGAGGCTACATAGAGGGGGGTAATGTAGTGACATAAGAAGGGAGGGGCTGCTGGGGGCTCTGGGTCCCTGGGAGGGCCAGGCGCTTAATCCCCTTGGCGCCGCCAAAGGGGGGGGCTGTGTGTGCTCTGTGGGAGATCTGGGGGCGCACACGGCCCCACCCCTCGTTGGGGACTAGTTATAAAAGCGGAGCTCCCTGGACGATCAGGGCCAGTTGTAACTCACGACCCAAGACCCACGACCAGCCATCTGAAGACCTTGGGATGTTGTGAGAGCGAGTGGTGGGACTCTGGAACTCCCGACTCTACGACCTTGTGAGGGCGAGTTCCAGAGCGTAGCCAGACTAGAGTATCTAGGCTGTGTACCTAGGCTGTGTACTTGGGCTGTAACAGAGTATCAGGACTGTTGGAGTGTTGTGTTGTAATAAAGAAGTTACCTCTACAAGGGTCTCCGGAACCCGTTACAAAGGGAAGGAATGTTAATAGTATGTAGCTGCAGTAACTAAACCACCACGTAAAAAAACTAAAGTATGAACTACATAGTATCATCAGTATACTAAATATACTCTCCAATAAGCTGAGCTACTAACAGTAAGTAATACATTACAATTCTACGTCGCAAAAAATATAATATGCTTCCAGCTAAACTTTTTTCTCCTACATCACACGGGTCTACCCCGTACTATATACTGCCATAGACAAACCCAACATTAAATTATATACTGTATTACTATACACCACCCTATACCTTCGACTATACATTGTAATATTACACTGTATTATTCTACCCCACCTACTATATATTCACTATACAATTACGATACTATATATTACCTTATACATTGTATTAAACATTACAATTTTATACTATTTATTATTAAACAATCTGCTATACACTATACCATTGACCGTCGCGTGAAAAATACTAAGAGGAAGCAACGAAATATGTCAATGGGAGAGTGGTGGTAGGAGACTTGCAGCGGAGCAAAGAATCCATATTATGTTTTATTTTTATTATTTTATTACTTCCCCTCTACGTGACTTTACCGAAAGAACCAAGAAGATGAATCCCTGCAGTCACGAAAGCTTTAAATCGAGAAGTGCTTGATGCAGTCGAGGGGAATTGGTATGGAACTTCCCAGCAAAGCTCTAAAAATAACAATTGGTGCGTCAATAAATGCTTGTATACCGTATGAGAATTTTATTTGTTTGGCTGCGTCGGGTTGGAGGGCCTTAAAACAAAAAATTGTCAAATCATTATGTGGCCTAACCCAAATATTTAAGAATGAAAACTGCAGAGTAACTCGAGTGTATTAAAAGACAAACTGGAGTGTGCATAACAACAAAGCAGATGCAATGAAACCTGGCTGGATGAGTTTTGCTGGAATCCAAAGGCCTTGAAAGAAAACCGCAACCGATCCGGCCTCAGCCTTGCTTGGAAGTGACCAGGGTTGAGCCCATTTTGGATTTTTAAACACCTAAATACACATGCGCACATACAACAACAACAACCGCCATTCGCCACTAAGTGGCGGTGACGTCACCACGACGCTTGTGCCAGGCCAAGTGCACCTTGAGGCCACGTGAAGTGTCGAACGCCCGCTGGCAGGAGGTCACGGGGCAGACCCAGCAGGTGCCACTGGTCGACTGACCGAGATGACATATACACACACACGACAGCTGAAGCAGGTGGTATCAGCAAGCATGCTGACATTTCTACAAAAGCTACGATCCCCTGTATAGCTAAAATCTATAGACTGTGCTGGGGCAAGAGCTGTTAGTTACCACCTACACCAACACAAGTGTGGCCATGGTAGCAGTGGCATAAGAGTTACGAGGCAACCGACTGCCAGGTGAATAAGTGGAGTGACCGCGTAAACACGTTCCTTCGGAGTGGGCAGGTAGGAACTTGGTTGGACAGCGCATTCGTGCACGACAGACAGATACATCATCCCTGGTGGGCAGTGTGGAACCTGTTGTTCCTACCTGTAATATATTTTTGTGCTATACTAGTGGAGTGACAATCTGGCTGCTGCCTGATGATGCCGGTTGTAAATCACTGGCGAAACATCGTACTCGGAGAGCAAATCCACAACATTTACAATCTAACACACCGGTGTGCTGTATTAGTGACGAATTGGCATGTTTTGTTTACATGACAAACCTTACTAATTGGCTGTGTCGGGTGGTGGCAGGTTTAACACCGCATTTATATTTATGCAATCCAACCCAAAAAAACCTATGTTATGGATGATATTGGTCGTGAAAGCCTACGTGTTAAACAGTGGAGTGACGTTCATGAGAAAATAAACCATACTTGTAGGGATGGAAGAGAGGGGTAGGAGACTATACCCGTGGTTTTGGATGAGTATTTCAGCATTGGGTTCGTCGGGGCTCGGAAAGGGTACGGCCAAGCACTCGTCGATGAATAGCAGGAAGTCGAGGTGGGGGCCAAGATCCACGGAAGCCTCCACACGCACATCATCACCCTGCCTGTACGGGCCACTGTAATCGCTGAGCCAGTCGTCTGTGGTGCCAGCAACCAAAAGAGAAACATTAAATGCCAGGGTTCTGATACAGATGAAGCTCATAAAATCTGGTAAACATGGATTGTCGTAAGATCCAAATGCGACAAAAAAATCTAAGGAAGTTACAGGTGCTTGAGTAAGATTGCAAATCTGGGGGCATTTCAGTAGACTAGGGATGTCATCATGTCCACTCTGCAAGAGCCAATTAGCTGCCAGAAAGACAACTGCATGCAACATAGCCGTCATGCAGTCACTTATGCAATATGACGGCACGAAGTCATACAAATTTACAAGAACAGAATCTGAACTTTGGTGACCAGTTCCCAATGGACGGGCTCCTCAGAATGTTCAATTAGTTTCCGACCAATTTCCTTGTTCTGCCACCTCTACAAACTTTCTAAGAGACTCATCCTGAACTGGCTGTCACCCAACTTGGAGGTAAAACGTATTCCAGAACAAGCTGGCTTCTGGACTGGCAAGTCCAGCACTGGTCAGGTGCTAAACCTCACCCAGTACACAATTACGCCATCTACCTTACTAACACACACACCATCTCGGTTTTAGGAGAGGTCTTTGCGAAGCAGTCTGGAGAGTTGGCAGTATCACCGAAACTCTAAGCAAGATGAAGTAGTGTTGCGTTCCACTTCATTGGAGCCCAAGGATGCTTGCTCGCTTACCGCTCACGGCTCGCAGGCGGAAGGGCAGCCGCTGCTGGACCACGCGCTCGCTGGTGTAGGGCAGCCACGTTGGAGCGACGTCACCGCTCGTCACGTTGTGCTTTCTGCCAAACGTTGACAACCGTTCGCGCACAAAGTTCAGTGGCTTAACACAGGATGGTTCAAATATCGATAATTAAAACACTAAAAATTGACACTTTTTATTAATATAGAAATTCTTCTGCACCATACAGAGCCCATTTTGCTAATCGGAGGTGTGTGGGAAGGACAAACTAAAAATCATAATCGGTTCTAAAGCAAATAGATTTTCAGTCTAGATTTGAAAGTGCATAGCTCCAGTGGCTTCCTAATATCTGAAGGAAGAGCGTTCCAGACAGCCGCAAAAGGGCATCTGAAAGTTGGTTATGTTACTCTAGATAATGTTGTATGGTACATTGACACTTGCTGGCCTAAAGAAAACGTAACCACATGTTAGACGAGCTAAAATAATGTTACATAGTATTAGGTACTCGATGTAGTACATAGTGTATAGCACTCACTACACATCAACGTGTATAATATATGCACTAGAATGTTAGGTAGCTTGTAAAGGATAACAATGCAGTCGTCAAAATGCTTGCCTAGCCACTGCTAGTGGAATGGTTTCCACGAGGAAGCTTCAGAGCCCCTCCAGAGGATATTTGGTCTACTCTTCCACACACCGATTAGCATCGTTGGCCGTGTATGGTGCGAAAGAAGGTCAATATACATAGACATCCCAGAAGCACAAGCATCCACACTTAACACCACTGCACACGACATGCCAGTAGATCAACGTTTGCACCGGTTAATACACCAATATGGCAGCATCCCAAGCATGCACGTCTCCATATTGCACATGTAGCATGTCTTGAGGTTTTCAGCACCTTTTTCAAACTAGTTTTAAACCCGGTACATGCCAGAACCATGATGCAATACAACGTTGAACATGTCGATTTTCCATTCAAGAACGTATATATTTTAACAAAACGCAAGCCCATTACAGCCCTTCATGTAATTAAATGTCCGGGAGGCCATTCAAAAAATCTTTAGTCGTCATCCGTAGTGAAATTTCCTTCGTATGCAGCTGCAGAAATGTATGTTTTCATGTGCTTATCTGCAGAAAACTGAACAGGATGGAGATGAGGCACCGTGATGAAGGCCATCCATCAAGCATTATCCTTGCTTAACGGAAGAGGCATACATACACTTGGGAAGGGGGAAGTGGGGCACGACAGTCAACGGGAAACAGGCCTCAAAACGTGCATTAGGTACAAAATGGGATGAGTAATAATGCAATCTCCTTTGGCTCATGATACATTCTGCTCTCATCCCCTGCTTATTGGTGTAATAACCGAAAATCCAGACCACTCACCCAAAGCAAACGTGCAGGCAAAGAGACTATCAGGAAGTAGGCTAAGGCCTCCTATTGGTGCAGAGGCCTACATAGGCCACATGGCCGACCAGCTCTGAACAAATTCCTCAACCACATCAATTCCATACACCCAGCCATCAAATGCACCATAGAGGTGGAAAAGGATTGCAAGTTACCATTCTTGGATGCCTTAATCAAAAAGAGACCAGATGGCTCAATGGGACACTGTCTACAGGAAAGCCACCCATACGGATGCCTACCTAAAACCTGACTCCCACCATCATCCATCCCAGAAGAATTCCCTCATCAAAACTCTACACTGCAGAGCTCAATGTATTTCCGACCATCACCAACTAGCCAGGGAACACGTACACCAAGCCCTCAAGATGAATGGATATTCAGACTACACAATCCATAAAGCTATCACCAACCGTTGGGAAAGAACCATCTGAGGACCCAATCAAAACGACCATCTTACCATACAGAGCAGGGGTCACCAAAAAGATTTCCAAAATCATGAGCAAACACAAGATCCAGGTCTGATTTAACATCGTACATAAAATTCGTGATCTGATCCCATCTGTGAAGGATGTGATCCCTGACATGCAATACCCTGGTGTCTACAAAACTAAGCTGTGTCTGTGGCAGTAGTTACATTGGGGAAACTAAGCGACATGTCTCGGACCGTGTTCGTGAACATAAAGGCAGATCTGAAACACGGTAGGACCAATACCTCGGCCGTGGCTGATCATTGTTTTAATGAAGTGGGTTCACACGAAATTGATTTCTCCAAGACGAAGGTACTCACTCTGCAAACCCACTGGCTATCAACAAAGATTCGTTCACGAAGCCATCCAGATATATAAAGACAATTTCAACCGAGAAGATGGGTACAAACCGAGCAATTATTGGAAGGACATTATTAACCAGTTTAAGTCATAACTGTAAGTGATGTTTCCATCTTACCTTCCGATGTTAGCAGTTGTTTTCGACTGATTTTACATTAACAGGTTAAATGTCTCACTAACACAGCCGCCGTTGCTCGTGTCCTCCATGTGGTGGCGGCTCTGCGATCTTACATTGACATGCTAATCTCTCACAATACAATGGCCACCACTGCGCCCTTGTCGTGTAGCTCTCTGATCTTACATTTTACATGCAAATTTATCACTTAATCACTAGCCCCACCAACTTCGTTTATGGCCCTTAGGCTACACCCATTTCAAACCTTTAAAAACAGCCTGCCTTAGCAGCTTTCCCCCTCTCATGATGACGATTTCTTGTGTTGCGATCGAAACGTCGTGATATTTGTATTATTATTTTTTTCACTTTATTATCATATATTTTATTTTATTGTTATTGTTTCTATGGGACTTCACCGAAGACCCAAAGAATATGGCCTCCATAGGTGATTGGTCGGGAGGCAAGGTTCAAAAGGAATTGGAGGAGAGATTTGACCTGAAAAAGGCAGGAAGCAAAGGTTGAGTGTTGAGGCGACGGTTGACAACCCTTAATGGAGAAGATGAGGATTTGCTGTAATGAGTGGGGCGAGCGAAGGGGCTCGAAAGGTATACAAGGGTAAAGCACAGGAGGGAAGAGAGATGTTCGGGGAGTGTATGAGCTTCAAGACTCAAGGAAGAAGCCGGGCCCTACTGTGGTTGCTCTGTCTAATAAAGAAAGCTCCGAATACGTGTCATTACACTAATAAATACCGTGATGCCGATTGTTAATTTGTACTAATATGCGGAGATTTGCACTCACTTTTTAAACGGTTTATAAAAGGGGGACAGGGCCCAGCCTTTATGGGGGGGGGGGGGGGCGAGGGGGCAACCCCCTGAAAACACCACAGGTTCTGGTTAAGACAACGGTGGGTGCCACTCAACGTGTCCTTAAATACTACAGCACAATGAAATAATCCGTCATTAGCCGTGACCAACCCAAGCTACCTCCAACACTCACGATCGTACAATGCAACAATCCATCCGGCACATGAACGTCATTACTCCATCTCTTTTCGGTGGCTGTCTGCTCAGACACTTTCCATTAGTTTCCACTGCATCGGCCATCATTCCCCTCCTAGTGATGTGTCCTGCCCAAGTACACTAAAGTTATTTTTTTTTATAGTTTGAATGTCACGATAACATGTTTAAGGATCGACGAAAGCTCAACAAGATGGGTTTAGATATTTTCCCCCCTCTCGAATAAGTTAGTTACGTTACTTTAAACTTGATTTTAAGCTTTTGTGACCGCAGGAATCTCTGGTTCTTTCGGTAAAGTCACGTAGAAATAAAATAAGTAAAAGTATTCTATTATTTATGTTACTCTAGATAATGATGTTCTTACCCTAGATGTAAAATGGCACGAGATGTAGCAACGCTGTGGGCTCTCATGAAATTGTCTTTTCCGAGACTAAGGTGCTCTTGCAAGCCTCCTGGCTACCATCAAAGGTTTGTACACGAGGCCATCCAAATATACAAACAGACATAATTTCAACCGTGATGATGGGTACAAACTTAGTAATCATTGGAAAGATGTTATTAACCATGCAAAAAATATTTAACTACACATATTTGGAGCATACCTGGCAGCGATTTCAGCCGCACCACCTCTACATAACAATAGGCTCAGTCAACCATTCTACACAAAGACTAATTTCCTGGCAGCGATTTCAGCCACATCATCTTTACATAACAAAAAGGCTGAGTCCCTTTTACATGCACCTTTACATCATCCGCACCTAGTTTACACAACAAAGGCTCATTCCTAACGGCGTGCTTCAGCCGCACCGAACCTCACAAAAATAATATTCAGGGCCTACCTTGGCTCCTCCCACCCTCAACCAGTATACATATAACAATACGGTTTTCTTGAAATTTCTCTCACTTGATACAGCTATCGTGCTGTGACTGTTCCACCTGAAGATGGAAGCTTGTGTTGCCTCCGAAACGTCGTGATTTTTATTTTATTTTTTATTTTACTTTTATAAATTTTTATTTTTTACCTACGTGACTTTACTGAAAAAAACCTAAGAATGAATCCTTGCAGTCACGAAAGCTTCAAATCTAGAATTCATCATTCATAACAGCCATGTGGAAGTCAACGGGTAACTTTCAGGGCAGAACACACTTGGGATTTGCAAGCGCAAATATGCGACTTGGCTCTTGACTCTTGTTTGTGTCTAGATATTTTGAGTAACCATTTGATGAACCTGCCCAATCTTATCCTAATAGTGTTATTTTATTTTAATCTCTACGAGAGTTCGTGTCGCCCCCCCCCCCCCCCCATCAGACAAATGTTTTGACGCAGTAGGTGCGAGTGTTGGGGTAAGGTACCTGTGGTATCGGCACTCCAGGAAGACGCTCGCCCGGTGGACTCTCACGATGTTACTGCGAGTGGCAGGCTCGTAATGCAGGTAGTTTGTGTAAACGATGTCATCATTTTCCACCTGAAACCACCAAAATCAGTCCATGTCAACAACCACCACAAACGATGGGCAGCTTGAGCCCGACAATCCTTTCTTGCAAATTAAATCTGAGGTCTATACAGCACAAAAAGACAAACACATGGCAATTATACCTTCGCAGACAACCACACCACAATGAAACTTTCCTGGATCTTGTCCTGATGATGCCCGATGTGGTTTAAAGGGACTAGTTACATATCGAATTGCTATAATTTGGTTGAGCGAGTTGCTCTACTGGTGAGATGAAACTGTAATGGTGGGTCGCTAACATTTATTAGTAACAATTACATTTTTGTGGCTGTGTCGGCTGGTGGAGTGTGGAAGACAAATAATTTGGCCAGATCATTACGGGGCCCAACAAAAAATGGTTTCATGAATTTGAAGGAAAGTAAATATTTTACCCATTCTCTTGCCACCAATGAGCAAACGCTGTGGCAATATAAAAACTTACAGCCCTTTGTCAATCTACTGTTTGATAAAGATTTCGATGTCTTTAGGTCACATGGGATATTTAACCATACTTCACCATGCTGGTCAGTGTAAGTTGGTAAAGAGTGAACAATTACGATACAGCGCTCCAAAACTTAAAACACAGGGTAAAAATCTGTTGCGGAAAAAAAACATTAAGGAAGCATTTTCTAATTTAGCCTTAGGATTACTTTACAGCAGTAAAAATGTTTGTATTGATCCATGTGATAAGACGACTCATTAATTACATCACGCTCGGCTCTCAGAAATCAAACGCTCGATTAAAGTCACGTACAAAGAAAATACATTAAATAATATAATACGACGTTTCGATTGCAACACAAGCAACCGTTATCAGGTTGAACAAAATTTTAGAGAGACAAAACAGACACGGAGACAGACAAGCAGAGAGAGACACAACGACCCAATGCCTGTGTCGAGGCCTTATATAGAAAGAGGGGAGGGGGGGCAGAGAGAGGTGGGTCTGCTGGAGCAGCGATCGTCAACCACCAGGCTACGCGTTAACTGTGTGCGAGTCACAGCCATCTCTGGAGACATACCTAAGCGGTTGTGCTTTCGCTACGTTGTCCTCACCTGAAGGACGCTTGTGTTGCGCCTAAAACGTGATTTAATCGAGTTCATTTATTTAAATTTTTTACCTACGTGACTTTACCGAAAAAAACAAAGAGTATGAATCCTTGCAGTCACGAAAACTTCAAATCTAGAATGTGTTAGCCTACAGTTGCATAGCATTTCCAAAAAAATGAAAGTTTGTTATTTCAAACGGCCTATTTCTCTTTCTAAAATTTACCAGGCTCTCATAGATCCTTTCGCTCTCTCCCTCCAGCCACTTTGAGGTGGATTTCCACACAACTCTAAAATGTACCAGTCGTGTTGGGTCTTTCATTGACATACTAATTTCTCTGCTCCAGCAGCTGTTCTAGCAGACTCACCTCTCTCTCTCTATTTAAGGCCTCAACAGAGGCATTGGGTCTGTGTCTATGTTGTGTCTCTATCTGTGTTTTGTCTCTCTCAAATTTAGTTCAACCTGATGACGGTTGCTTGTGTTTCAATCGAAACGTCGTATTCTATTATTTAATTTATTTCTATGTGACTTTACCGAAAGAACCAGAGTAAACAGTTAACCTGGAAATGGCGTCTTAGGAGATGTTATATCCACAATGATAGCCATGCTATAACACTTCTTATTCTTTGGGTATTTTGGTAAAAGTCACGTAGATAGGTTCAAAGAAAATAAAAAAAATCTACGGCGTTTCGATCACAACACAAGCGGTCGTCATCAGGAAAAGGGGGTTAAGCCTCTAAAGGAAAACTGTTTATAAAGGTTTAAAGATGGGCGTAGCTCAAGTGTGTCAGCAGCATGGGCAGGGCAGCTAATGTTAATGTAGGGGAAACGACACCAGCAGTGGGTCTCCACCAATCAAAGGGCCACCAGGCAAACATTGCACTCCGCTCCACACACCCACACGGCTTACGGTGGAGGTTGCTGCTAGAGGTGATGGTAGTAGTAGGTAATGATGGTGCTGGGTTTCTACCAAAGGGCTACCAGGTCTAAAAATGGAAACATTACAGTAAGTTACGACTTGAACTGGTTGATAACGTCCTTCCAGCGATTGCCGAGTTTGTACCCATCCTCTCGGTTGAAATTGTGTCTGCATCTATATATATATATATGGATGGCTTCATGAACGACTCTGATAGCCAGTGGGTTTGCAAAGTACCTTCGTTTTAGGAGAAATCAATTTCGTGTGAGCCCACTGCATTAAAAAAATGATCAGCCACGGCCGAGGTATTGATTCTACCGTGTTTCAGATCTACCTTATGTTTACAAACACGGTCCGAGACGTGGTCGCTTAGTTTTCCCAATGTAACTACTGCCACAGGCGCAACAGTTTGTAGACACTTTTGCTGATAAGACAGTGCGAGGGCCACACATTTTAAACCATTTGGGTTTGGGACAACCACGTTAATGATGGAGGGTGTTTTCACATGTGTATTGTTCTGCCTCATGGCAGATAAGGGGCGTTGATTCCACAGGAACTTCCTGATATGGTGGCGTGTTTGGTCACGTGACCAGGAAGTTACGATTTAAGATTCTCTAGGCCATGAGGCAGGGTGTCAGCCATTACAAAGTACAGAATGGAGGCACAAAGCGTCTCAGTGAAGACGGGTACATCCATTCATTGAGACTTTAAGAAGCATTGTCTGCAAGTTCGTTTATGTTCTTATAATACTGGGAATGCTGTTATGTTAGGATTGCCGTTATAATACTGTAAATGCCTTTATGATGCTGTTAAATTGTAATGAATACAAGGCCTAGTTAACAACGAAGCCTGTCACTTGCATTGCGAATGTTACTTGTAGTTGGATAAGTCGAGCCAGACTATTGCCCATGTAACTTTAATGCGATCCTGAGAGCAAGGATGAAGATGTATCTCATCCACAGTTCAGTGTTATATGCAGCACTGTACATTTAGGCTGCAGTACGGTGATTACACAGTGACCTTATTTAACACAGTAGCTTATTCTCTTGTTGTATGGCTCGTCAGTGCTAATGTAAGTGCCTGGTCAATCCAGGACCTATTGTTGAGATTCATGTCATCTCAGACAATATTACGATGCTCTTTGTTCATTCATTGTATCGATATTGCAAGTATTAACAGATGCTGTATTTCGTGCTGTTTGTTCAGTTTTACCTCGTTCTATGCATTAAATACGTTGGAGTCGGATGTTCACCCTGGCTTTGAAGGTTTATTGAATACGAGGTTAACTACTCGGATAGTGGTGCACCATAGCGCACAGCGAGGCCGAGATATGTATTATCGGGGGCCGCACATCGGGGCCAAACTAATGTCCACCAGTGGCATGCAGGCTTTCCATCGAAGAACACTCATATATAAAAGATGGTCTTTTGGCAAACCAACGGGTCTCAATCAGGGGGGAAAAGCTGCCAAACTGCAAATGGTCCCACCATGAAAACTCCAGATAGAGGGGGTCAGGGTGGATGAAAATTACGTTACCGAGGCTTGGGTGCCACACGCGCCGAGGTTGTAGAGGAGGACAAGGGAGCCGCCCTCCCCCTCGCCGGTGGCGTGACACGCCGGCTCGCCCAGGTACAACCCTCCTCGTCGCAGCGCCTGGGCCCCCACGCCCAGCAACTCCAGCTGCACAGTCACCTCCAGCCAGCCCCGGCCACAGCGCAGGCGAGTGGCGCTCACGGCCGTGCCATATGCTGATCACGGGCAACACGGTGGAGGGGAGGGTTGCTAGGTAGGTGGAGAGGGTCGCCTTTGCACAAGACAGCCATACATTTGTTGACGTCTTAGAAATACTCATTTAGAGCACGCGTGCCCCGTCCAGTTTCGCCATTTAATTTGACAAATACTCCATGTTTCAATTAAGATAAATAATTGGTTAATTATAATTAACACATTTACAGCTTGTAAAAAGGTCTTATTTTGTACCGTATATGGATGCAGTTGCATTATAAAAATATAAAATGCGATTTCATATACATTTTAAAACAACCGAAAGCACAAACCACCGCAATTTTAACCATAGGACAACCGGGAACATGGACGAACACAAACTGGCCAGCTACGACCTCCAAAAGGCAACCAAGAGGCAAAAAGATAGTACAGGGGACAAAGTGGAGTCGCAATTCAACGGCTCAGACACGAGACGAATGTGGCAAGGACTCCAGACAATCACAGATTACAAAGGGAAAACCAGCTGCTTTACGGACAGACACTTCACTCCCAGACAAGCTGAACACCTTTTTTTGCTTGCTTCGAGAAAACACCAACCCACCGACATGGGCCCTCGCTGCTCAAGAGTATTGTGGGCTCTCGATCTCTTTGGCCGACACCAGTCAGTCTATCAAGCGCGTTAACTCTCGCAAGGCTGCCGGCCCGAATGGCATCCCTGGGCCGCGTTCTCAGAGCATGCGTAGATCAGCTGGCTGGCGTGTTTACGGACATATTCAAACTCTGCATATCCCAGCCTATTGTCCCCATGTGCTTCAATAGGTCCATCATCGTTTCTGTACCCAAGCGAGTGAAGGTAACTGAACCAAATGACTATTGCCCCGTAGCACTCACTTCAAATCATCATTAAGTGATTTGAGAGACTAGTCACGGAAAAATACCAGCTCCACCTTACCAGACACCCTCGACCCACTACAATTTGCATACCCGCCCGAACAGATCCACGAACAACGCAATCGCCATTGCACTACACTGCCCGATCCCATCTGGACAAGAGGATTACCTAGGTGAGAATGCTGTTTATCGATTATAGCTCCGCTTTCAACACCATAGTACCACTCCAAGCAGTCGCCAAGCTCAGGGCACTGGGTTTGAACTCCTCCCTATGCAACTGGGTCCTGGACTTTGACAGGTAGACTCCACAACGCTGATCCTCATCAACAGCCCCCCCCCCCCCCGTGTGCTCAGCCCCCTCTTGCACTCCCTGTTCACCCACAACTGCGTGGCCACACACGACTCCAACTCAATTATCAAGTTTTCTGACGACACGACAGTAGGCTCGATCACCAACAACGAGGCAGCCTACAAGGAGGAGATTGGAGCCCTAGCGGAAATAACTGCTCCCTCAACGTCAACAAAACCAACGAGCTGGTCGTGGACTACAAGGGACAGAGGGGAGAGCACGCCCCCCCCCCCCCCCCCATCTACATCGACAGAGCTACAGTGGGAAGGGTCAAAAGCTTAAATGTCCTGGGCATGCATATCACCAAGGCCCTGACATGGTCCCAGCACATCGACAGTGCGGTGTAGGCGCAAGTGCCTCTTCAACCTCAGGCGGCTGGATAAATTCGGCATGGCCCCTAAGACCCTGACGAACTTCTGCAGATGCACCATTGAGAGCATTCTGTCAGGTTGCGCCACCGCCTGGTACGGCAACTGCACGGCCCTCGGTCGCAAGGCTCTGCAGACGGTGGTGCGGTTAGCCCACCGTACCACAGGGGGCACGCCGCCTGCCCTCCAGGACCATTCCAACGCTCGGTGTCGTTATAAGGCCGAGAAGATCATTAATGACCTCCGCCACCTCAAACCACGGATTGTACGCTCCGCTACCGTCTGGCAGACGGTAGCGGAGCATTGGATCTAGGATCAGACTCCAAGACAGCTTCTACCACCAGGCCATTAGACTGTTGAACAGCCATCACTAGTTGTCTATCTGCCCTGTACTCGGACCTGCCCCTTAGAGACATTTTTACACCAATACCCGCCACCCGCCACTCGCCACCAAGTGACGGGGAAGTCGCCGCGGCGCCTTTGCGCTCACACAAACACCACGCAGTCTCTCGCACTCGCACAAAAAACGCAGTCAACGAAGGCTCTCCTTTGCATATAACGACGTTGAACACTGGACACTTCCAATTTATATACAGAGTATACACAGTGCATTTATATCGTACTCGACAAAGGTCACTGATATCTATTGTACATATTCATAGTATATATTTATGTTCATTCATCCCATGTATATACGCAGATTGTGATCATTGTTAGTGTTATTTGGGTTATTGGGATTCGTTCGGATACAGTAAAACCTTGGATTGCGAGTAACTTGGTCTGCGAGTGTTTTGCAAGACGAGCAAAAATGTTAAATAAATATTAATTTGATAAACGAGCGAGGTCTTGCAATACGAGTAGTACGTATACACTTTTTTCTGCCGAGCGTCACGTGATCACAACTGACATACGAATGCTTTGGATTACAAAAACACGTTTCCGGAAGGAATTATGCTCGCATCCAAGGTTTCTGTATTTCCATATTTTTGCACTTATTTTTTCAAAATGTTGATTAATTATTTGTTAGCCATTCAATTGCAATGGTTTGGAGCTGAAAACAATAATTTAGCGTCACCCGCTGTAACAGCTTAACTGTGTGTGCGACCAATACTCTTTGATTTGAATTTGAGTAATAACAAGCCAGCGAATGATACTCGCTCAAACACTGCAGCGGCCCTGTCCGCATTGCTCAGGTTGTGAGCATCCCGAGTAAGAGTTTTACTTCCCCCCCCCGATCCCCCTCAAGTCAGTTGCATTTTAGGGGTCCCAAAGAAGACCCTGTTCGATGCGAGACACGGTACATCCAACCACGTTATTCTAAGGACACTAACAATGTACAGACAGCGCCTTTGCCAATCCACTGCTGGATGACTGGATGAAGGCCTCCCCATACCGTACCGTGGAAGCTGACGCACTCAAGTACGCAGGTGAGTGAGTGTTGGTTAAGAATAGGTGAAGGGGGAAGAGGTGTGTCCAGGCCGCGTTCAGATAATACTCGCCAATGATGTTAGCCATGACTGCGAATCAAACTCGGGTACGGTGGGGCTCACAGCACAACGCGTAAACCATTCGACCAACGTTCCATGAACCCATCCATTAAACAGTACATGTATAAATTACAGATTATTGTCTGCAGTCCTGTATATACGGACAGCACAGAATGTGATATATTATCTACAGCACGTCTTTGCTGCATAGCAAGTTGGCCAGCTGGCACCCGACCTGTGGGGGTATGATACACGTACTGTATATATAAAAACATGTTTAGTTAATCAGCCTATTGGCTTTCCAGCCCAATATTACAAAGCAGCATTAGTATAAGAAATCTAACTCTGGACAGGTTTCAAACAAATGTTTCTGCATTCCCACGTGTTATTGGCAAGAGCACTCCGTATTTGTATATTAGATGCATGCAAAGCAAAAACAACGGCTGGTATGGTCCAGATATCGCATAAGTGTGCTCTTGTCACGATCCTCGGAGGTTAGTCCACAGACCAACCCTTACCTGCAGGTAGATCGTACAGCAGCACAATGGCCAGCAGCAACGAGCAACAGGCGAGGGTTGAGTCCATGTCTACAACTTCAAAGAAATCGCTATCGACCAAGCGAGAGGCGAGGACACCCACCGCCAGATATATACCCGGAGCTGAACTGGCAATGTTCAAGCTGTGAGGCCACCACCTGGTTGGGTGAGCTCGTGTCGTGCACTTGTATTCGAAAAACCTCACCTGCACGCCCCCGACAACTAGATCACGCCAATATAGCAACCAATTAAGCACGGAATTACATCCACTTATCAGAGATTACATAAACACATGGTGGCAGACGTTACAGTAATTACCAGAGATGGCTCAATAGCGAAGCCTGCATGTAAGATCATTGTTAGCATGGATATACCTCGAGAATTGTTGATTATTGCTGAGTTATGTGATTATTCAATTGATATTGGATTGTCCATGCCAAATGCTAATTTCCTGTTTACAGCAGTCAGTGGTGGAAATTCCATATTCCTCTGGCTAAGGGGGGGGAGGTGGCATCTGAACTTGAAAATCTTGCTGTACCTCTGAGATCACCTGGCCGGGTTGATTATACTTCGCCATCGTTAATTATATACGTGCACATCGAATCACAGTATGATCATATCACCCGGAATGCGCTCCATCTTTGTAGATCTCGGAAACTAATCAAGCTTGAGTCTGGATGGTGCTTGGATGGGCTACCACGACTCGTATTCACAGGTCCTCTCGGTGGCAGCGCGGTTACATTGTGGGCAGCAGAGTGCAGCGCAGCAATATCCATTGCTCCCCCATCACTGATCATCCAGCAGTGGATTTACAAAAGCGATTTACGTGTAGATTAAGATGGTTTAAATGTGAACACGCGTGTTTATATGCATGTTTCAGTTCCATGTCCTTTACTTAGTTTGTTCAGTTGAGATTAAAATGCCAGCGATATATAAAAGCTGATGCATGTAGAGTGACGTAGTATTTACAATCTCGTTGATGGTACTGAAATGTTAAACCATCGTCGACAATCCTCCAGCCGTGTTGGGGACTGATCAAACGGGACTGCGTCGTCTCGCACGCCCCGTGTTCAACCACCAACACGGTCACCGCATCGCGCGCATTCTGCGGCCGTCTGGAATGCTCTTCCTTCCGGTACTGTATTAGGAAGCCACTTGAGCTACGCACTTTTAAATCTAGATTGAAGACTCATTTCTTTAGAACTAAATTGTGTGTTTAGTTTGTTATCCTTCCCCCGAACCTCTGGTTAGCACGGTTGGCTACGTACGGTGCGAAAGAAGTTCAACATGCGTGCATACCACATTGCAGGTCACAACACTTCTCACTTGCTTCTTCAATGCTCCTCTTTTGGATTCCTCTTCCCATCATTGTCTCTCTGTTGTTGTTGTTGCTGTTGTTGTTGTTTCGCACAAGCTCTTGTATAACCTTCCCTCGCTCAATTCAGCAGCCCTGTTCTGCCCTTTCGCGACTTGTGATTCGTGCTGCTGGATTACTGTCCACTTGACGTCCCGGGCTTTCTGTTTGGCCTTTGCTCAGAAAAGCTGTGTTAAAATAAAATGGATTTATACCACTGTAAAACATAGGAGACGGACTCCTGACACTGCGGTAAGCACCTGAAACCCGTTGCTCATCGGGGAAAACACAAAGGTTAAACCAAGACATTGCGCTTTAAGTTACTTTAGTTCTTGGTTTATGTTTGGTTACGTTATTCTACTTCATCCCCCTCTTCGCGGATGTGCGTATGTTGAACTTCTTTCGCACCGTACGTAGCCAACCGTGCTAATTGGAGGTGCGTTACCATCGTCATTGTCATTTTTCATAGCAAAGTGTGCGCTGGTGTCATACAACGACCCCCCTGATAGCATTAACACACTGTTGGGGAAAGTGCTCTTCTTCCCCTTACCCCGTTCATCTGCTGCGCCCATTCGTTGCCCCTACTGTGGCAGGGTAGTGAGACCACGTGCCTCCAGACGGCCCCCCATTTGAGGGTGTATTATTCCGGGTTTGAAACATGTTCGTAATATGTGATGTCCGTGTTCTTGGTTCTTGAATATAAGACTGTGGAACATTTTATCACAATACGATCATTCAAAGCAAGGTCAAGTTATGCTGAATCTGAAAAACAGCTTTAACACAGCAGTGACATTTTAAAGCACGAATGCATTAATTCTTTGAGGTCACGGTGCTGTGGGGAAAATATGACGTACTGGGAGGGACCACACACGAGGCAGATTGACTTAAAGCAAATACTGTTTCGGCAAACGTTGATTTTGTTTTCAATAAACAATATCTCTTAGTCCAAGTCCATTGGCTCTCCAGACCAATACAGTTCAATATTTTGAAGCAGCATTTGTTTTAAGTGAGTCAACTCTGGAACACATTCTGCTCGAGTTCCGTTTTGTGGACCAACGTTTATTTTAATGTTTACTTGATTATAAGATTTTAGGGGGCGCTATGAGTTACCATATTATATGGTTTATATGATGCCAACAAAATGAAGCAAAGTTGTTGGTGCACCTTATGTTTGTGTGTGCGAGAGACCAGACTTGTATAGCTTTCATTCATAATTTATTTATTGGGGGATTCGGCCCCAAAATCGTGCCATAGTGGTGAGATGTAAACTCCCTCGCCTGGTATACAGGAGGTCGTGGGTTCGAACCATAACCCTGACGCCTATATATTTCGAGTTTGCATGTCTCTCTCCCCGTGGTCGCGTGAATTTTTCTCCGGGTCCTTCGGTTTTCTTTCTACATTTAGAAATATGCATTTAGAGTACTTAGCTGCTATACATTTCCACTTCGTTTAGCTATAATTTGTGCCCAGGTCGCTTCTGAAAAATAGGTATACAGCTCAGTTGGATTTAGATTAAAATAAAGTTGCACAACTTTATTCACCCAGGGGACACGTCCTGAGTGCATCTTACTTCCCGAAATGTATAATCTAAGGAATTAATTTGCACTCAAGGCTTGGATAAATATTTAATCATCATCATTAGCCATGATTGCAAGTCTTTGTGTTTTCTCCAATGAACACCGTTAGACCCTGTAACTTGGTAAAAACGGGAGATTGTTCCCCCTCTTTTAGGGCTGTTTCCCCAGCCGAGAAAAAATGCGCTGTTGGCTTTAAGTTACGATCTTTCGAAGCTATTTGGCAATCTCGCAGGGAGCTCCATTCGTTGTAGAACGTGGTTGCCGAACAGGTTTTTTTTCTCCCACAGGACTTCTCCAGAAAAAAATACTTTAAGTTGCTTTTAATTTTAGTTTTTAACTCAGTAGGATTCACACTGGCCCATAACGTCTGCTGCTGTCATTGTCGATCGCTTAACACTAAACACCAATGCTTTAAATTTCAGACCTGGAATTTATCCAAATTACGAGCAACACTCGATTTAATGGGATCGATGTTGTGTGTGTGCAGTTATTGTTGACTGAGGCTAAGACTTCTAAACGACGTCGCCATCTCGACAACATGATATGAGGGGTTATTATGATTTCCTATACTTCGATACTAATTATAAACAATGAGTGACAGACGCGGATCATCGCTGCTTCAGCAGGCTTGACATGAAACGTTTCAAGATTTATTTGCTAAGCCACGGCTGTGTCAGCTGCGGGAGATTGTTTGACCGCACCTAACCACGCGCGATTAGTGCCAAACAAACACTCTACAGCAATGTGCACGTCGCTTCCAAGAAAGAAACACGAGCTTGATATTTTAACATACTTTGGTATTTGTACTAAGTCTAAATAACCACGCATTTTTGTTGATGTGGCAAACATTATCAACTGAAACTTTCACAACCCACAATAAAAAAAACCCCCAACACGACCAGCATGTTTGTAATTGTTACACAACCAGTACGTGCACCCATTAGATAGTCTTGAAATGAGACATGGGACTTTTCACATCCACAACTGTGATGTGGACACAATAGTGTGGACACAATCTCTGTCACTGTGAAAAGGTTTGGCCGACATAATGTGTATTTTTGTGCAATAAAGAAGGACCGTTACCCTAAACGTCGCCTATTATTTCCGTTTAAGGCTAAACATACTGTGTTATTGACAAACGAAGGTTTTGAGTTTTTTTCTTCTTCAAATTTAGTTTTGAGGGGAACACTTTTTGCACCGCATTCCCGACTCTGTGTGTATTTTTTATTTCTTTCGCACCGTACGTAGCCAACCATGCTCCTCGGAGGTGCGTCAGTATCCGCCCCGTGGAGGGTTCATTCTTGTCCAGGAACCCATTCGTGCACGACAGTGTCACTGTCATCTTCTCATCGCCGACCTCTTCACAAACCTCAGTTCCCAGAGAGTCGGATGTGCGACGTTGCCCTCCAAATATATTGCAGAGGCGGCGGTGAACGAGAAGGAAACCAAGTAGCTGACAGTATGTATAACCATCTGGACATAAACGTCGACGGCCGGGAATTGTGAAGGAAACATTCGAAGCATAATTTTCACAATTTACCACGTTTGTACGGAGTGTATTGCGATTTCTGAAATGAGAGTCTTGGGATAAATTCCTGCAGTTTGTCGTGCCAGTCCCAGCACCAGCAGTTTGTGGAGTAAAACTCAACTCCTCGGATGTGTCCAGTATTTGGACAGTAGAGGGCAGTGCAACAATATCCATTGTTATTTAGGACATCCCTCCCACCACCAGCCCTCACTAACTAGCGCGGTGAAGTATGGTCAAAGAAACCCGCACGACCCGCACATTGAGGGAGGGGGGCCCTCATCCAGCAGTGGGTTGAAGGAGCGGGATGTGCACGCACATTATGCGACTTGTATGGTAAGGTTACGTTGAGGTTCACGGAGCAAACAAACCCGGGACAGAAGAGCAATGCGAGAAACAAGACAAACGAGATGGAGAAACGAAGCCAACAATAAACAAATATTTATTAAAGTTATGAATTTACTTTGGGGAAACCCATCGCTGAAAATGGGGGAGACGTCATAAGAGGTGACTATTGGAAGGAGTCTTAACAAGGTTCGGAATCTTGTCGGCAAACAGGAGAGTGCAAACCTTTGAAAGATTGCGAGTCATTA